CATGAAATCTGGATGTATTAAAATTAGAACTATATTAAAATTTGTCTTCAAATCTTAAAAAGTTCTTTGTGCTTGAGGTTCATATTCTAATTTGTCTTTGGATGTCAATTAAGTAAGAAGAACAGTAACTTTGGAGTAATTCTTAATAAATATCAAATAAAAATTAGCAAATTCAAAAAAAAATTATACATCTTATATCATCTTTGAAGTTATCTACTTTGTTATAACTTGAACTTTCTTTGGATCTATCAATAAGCCTTCATTGAATATAATATATCCAAAAAAACTTTACTTTTTACTAATAGAATATATATTTTTTCTATTTTTATATAAAATCTTGCTTCTTATAAATTTAATAAAATTAATCTCACATATTTTTTATGTTCTTTAATAGTCTTGGAATAAATTAAGATATCATCAAAATAACAAACAATAAACTTATTTGAGAATTTATAAAAAATATCATTTATCAAATACTCAAATGTAGCTAGAATATTTATCAATACAAAAGGTATAATATTATATTCATAATATCCATACCTTATCCAAAATAATGTCTTTTATTTTTATTTTTTTATAATCCACACCAAATTGTATGTTCTACAGAGATCTATTTTAGTATAGATTTTAGTTTCATTGAGTTGCTCCAAAAGTCCTAATATCAAAAATAATGGATAAAAATTCTTTATTATTATTTTATTGATGTTGCAATAATCAATAGACATTTACAAAGATCCATCTTTTTTCTTCATGAAAAGTATAGATGCATCTATTAGAGATTTGGAATGCTAAATAGAATTCTTTGCAAGATTTTTGTCAATGTAATCCTTCACTATTAAAAGCTCATTCTATATTAGATTGTAGATTGGACCAAATAGTATTTGAGTCCCTTTTTAAAGATTAATGGCGTAATTATACGATTGATGCTTTGACAATATGTTAGCATTTTTTTTTGAAGACATCTTAAAACTTCTTATATTATTTTGAGATAGCTACTAGCAATCTTATTTCTTCATGAGTTGGAGTTGCATAAATAACAAATGGCATTTCTTTCTTAATTATCTTCATAAAAGCCTTTGCTCCAAGAAATAAAGACTTTATAGTTGATAACTTCTTAATAGGTTTTGTCCAAAGAAATTCAATAGGAAATTCAACCTCAAATAATCTCCAATCTATAGATGGATTATATCTTTTTAACTACAAAATTCCTAAAATGATAGGATTGGATGGAATTTTAATAATATTTAATACTAATTTTTTTTTATACTATGGCCTTCAAATGACATTTCTAGTAGTATGATTTTATCAGTAACATTGCCTAAAGGTAAAGCTTGATGATCTATTATTTCTATATATATAAGTTTTGACTTCTATACTAAAAGAATTTTATGAAGTTTAATAAACTCTTCATCTTAAAAACAAGCAAATGCTCCTAAATCTAATAAGGCATTTGTTTAAAGTTTTTGTAGCCAAGAAATAAAGATATAATAAAAAAACAAGTAAATTGGATAGAAAAAGAGAAACCTTGATGGATTTGAGGTGTTAAAATATTCAACTACATGGTTCCTGTTGTGATTGGATTCTTTCTTTTTTTAAAACAATTGCACTTTTAGTTCTGATTGTAAGTTGTTTTTTTTGAAAATTCATAGATTTATGGCCTCTTTCACCATAATACAAGCATAGGCATTTTTCAAATTGACGCTTCTTTTCTTTTGCAATAAGAGGTTTGGATTGTACTACATTAATTTTCATATCTTCAATTATTAAATATAGAAATAATATATTTGTTGAAGTACTAGAATACAAATTTTTAATGCATTACTTTGTCAAAGTCTACAAGAATTAATCTTAATGGCATTGAAATAATCAATTATCACACTTCATAGCTTACTTGATAGCTTCATTGAATATTTAAAGATCAAATAATAATAATAATAATAATAGGTCTTTTATATTATCATTTAGTCTTTAATAGAATTCATTTATAAGATCTTCTTTATCTAAATTGATATCATAAGTCAATTACCTAAATTAAAATTCATAAACTTATATTAAACATGACTCTTGTTGCAATGACCAAATATTTGTTGTCATCTATTGAATCTTGTTATGTTCTTCAAATACTTGTACAAATGCTTCTAAAAAAACTTCAAAATTACTCAAGATTGGAGAACTCTTCTTAAATAAATGAGCAAACTAAGACAAGGCTTATCCTGAAAGCAAGGTTTTAACTAAACTAACTTGTGATTCTTTTATTGAAAAGTCCTCAATTTGTAAAAAAATTATCAAATGAATTTGATTAATAAACCTTCAAAACTTAAAGCATGCGTTATCAAACTTTTTTGAAAGATTAATCCAAGGCTCTTTATATTATTTAATAGGTAATTTTTTTTGTTGAGATACAAGTGCCATTACTTCCTTTGATATAGAAGCTTTAGGAAGTAGTTGCATCATATGGTGAACTATCCCAAATCTTGTACCATTATAAAATCTTACAAAAAATCCCTTAGTAGTTTTATGAAATAAAATATTTAGCATGTTCATAATAATATATAACTTGGATTCAATAGACTCAACTATAGTAAGATCTTTACTTCTAGCCATCATAAAAGAAAAAAAATGAAGTTCTTAAATAATACCAATTTAAATGAAAATAAACTATAATCTTTAAAGCATTCAAATGCTATCGAGAAAGATCAAGCTCTAGTATTGATAAAAGAATAATTTTAAAAAATTATCATAGATATATTATACAAAAGATTAAACAAGAAGTTGAATAAAAGAATTATAATAAAAAGCTAGAAAGCTAACATGAATTTAATTAAACCATATGAGTATAAGATCAATATTAAGAGAGCTCTAAAAGATGTATTATTGAGATTGAGGATCTTTTAAGCCTTAACTCCAATATATACTAGGTATTAAGAAGCTTGAGAAGTTTCTATATTTCTGAAAAATAAAGCAACTCTAAAATTATTTTTTGACAATTTTTTTAATCCTCTTAAAATTTTTTAGAATCTCTAAAAATATTTTGAGATCCTTTTAGAATCTTTTAAAATATTATAAGAATCTTTTTAAAATCTTTTAATTAAATATTTTAAAAATCTTCTTAAAATCTTTTTATTAAATGTCTATAATAGTATCATTTGAAATAATGTATCCTACAAAATTAACTTGAGTAATATGAAATACACACTTTTTTTTATCTTGGTGTATAATCCTACTTCTCTTAGTTTTTATAACATATGACAAACATAAAGTTTATGTTCTTATGTATTTTTACAATAGATTAAAATATTATCTAAGTAACAAATGAAAAAAAAAATTTGGACGTATTGGACTCATTGATTTGTATTTGATTAGCAAAAGCTTGATCTAAACTATAAAAAAAATCAATGTTATGAGAAATCTAGTCTATTTGAGGAATATATTTTTTTAGCTATAATAATCCTAAAATAATTGTACTAGAAGAAAATTTAATTATATTAAATAATATTGAGCTATTATGACTACTAGTTGCTACATCTAAAGAAAAAATTTCATGGATGATATCTCTAGAAGATAAAAAAATGATCATCTATTATTTCTACATGCATAGATTTGGTTTTTTAATTAAGGATATTTCTTAACTTTTGACAAAGTCTTCATCTATAAAAAAAATTGAGACTTTTAAATCTAATAATGCTAAGATTTTTTGATTTTTTTTATCCTAAATAAATTTCTATTGTAAAACAAGATAAAAGATCTAAGGAGAAGATATGACCTTTATTAGATGTTGTATAAGATTTCACTTGCACAATTCCTATTATAGCTAGAAAAATTGATTTTTCTACACATCATCTTCTTTAGCAACCATGTTCTTTATTTTGTGGTTATGTTGTTTTTTTAGAGAATATTGAATAATATGCTTTGATTCTCTATAATATAGGCACAAACCTTCTTGATGGTGTTGAATTTTTTTTTTGCTCTATAAGAGGTTTGAAACATACCATGTCAATTTGTATAGGTTCCAATCTTGATAAATAAACTTTTTTGAACTTAAAAGTTGTTGCCATGACTTGACTTATATTTCTCGAATCAAATTCTTATTCTTGATATCTTAAAAAGAGTCAATTGGCACATACAATGGCTTAAGTAATAAATTACTCTAATGAATCTGCTCTTGATATTGTTAATAAAAAATCTTTGATATTATCTTTTAATCTATATCAAAATTGATTGACAAGGGCCTTCTTCTTTAAATCCATGTTATAAGCAAGATTTTGGAATTTAGCAGCATATATGGTAGCTGAACATAATCTTTGTTGTAAAGATATAAGTTTGGTCTCTACTATCTTTTTTCAATCAATTTCTTTAAATGTGGCCATGAAGACTTTTAAGAATAAATTCAAATCATAGAATAATCTTGAATCCTTTTTTATCAAAGGTGCAAACGAAGAAAGCACACTTCTAAAGAAAAGTACACCTATAAATCCAACTTGAGTAAATCCATTAAGATATTAAAAAAAGATGCAACTTTAGATAGAGTTTTATTTATTGAAAAAATCCTTAAAACTTTGATCTTGTTCCATCAAACTTTTCCAACATACTTATTCTTGCCTCTCTCATATTTGTAGTAGCAAAACTTCTTGAATTTAGTTATGAACTTGATTTACTTGTTTCTTTGAGTTGCACAATTTTTTGGTATAAACTTTGAACTTCAATGTTGACTTCTTCCATAGACATTAAAATATTATCTCCATGATTAACAATTAGAAATTTGTGAGATTTTCACCTTAAGATTATTGATAGGCTTGTGAAGATCTACAATGGTTGCAAATCTATTTTCACTTTTCCTAAGACTAGCATCTATAAAAAAAAAATCTATAAATAATTCAAATTAGAGGAAGATAAGTCAAATTAGAGGAAGATAATCTGCAATCTTAAATATCAAATGAAAACTTCTACAAAGAAAGATAATTCACTTTGTTTAAAGAAAAAATTATTGTTATGAAAAAATATTAAATTAAAAGTGGGTAGTCCACAACCTTCAAAGGACAATAATAGAAGTAGAGTAGTTCACTCACTTCTAAAAACAAGACAATGCATTGCAAGTTAGCACATTCTCCATCATGTTAGATTGCAATTGAGCTAGGATGAATAGTGGGAGGTGACTATGCCAAAAACATTTTTGAACAGGAGTTTTCTAAAGCTAGTTTTGTGAAAATTGGTCTCTAACACCAGAAATCGAACACATTGTCCAAGCTCTCGTTCATCTGGAACACCCTGGTTGACGAAATCCTGTCGATCGAGGGCAAGCAATCTGTTGTAGCTGTGATACGTCAAGGCTAGAATCTCTGGACTAGGCTGTTTGATGAGGAATTGTGGTCTCAGATCCATGAGTTAAGCCAGAGTCGGAGGATTGCGCGGATCTAAGTTAGAATTGGTCCTCAGAAAAAAGTAGTGTGCGAAATGGGGACGGAGAAGCCACTTGGCACATTATATGAGGCTTTTACAGCGTCAAACCTGGTCACACGAGCTACACGTGAGTGGAGATTCAGAAGTGTCAGTGCTCTGTTGCAATTCGTTTCGACTTCTCAATCTACGATGCAGGCAAACTGAGACTGAAGGTGCTCCAAAACATCTCGTCCCAAGCTGTCACTGACACTGTAGTGTTGGTTGCCAGAGGTACTACTGCGTGCCAAAAGGCACAAGCCGGAAGCCGACGAACGTGGCCTTGCTAAGCCAACACGATGAGCCCCAGAGCCACTTACAAAATTAATTGAACCGGCGAAAGGGAGCTCCTCACGAGAAATCGAAGGGCTCGCAGTACCACGCTTGAAAATCGAGGGCCTGTACTCTATAATTGAATTCTGCAGGCATTCACACTAATTTTGCAACTAAATTAGTGGCTAATCAAGGACGTGGTATGAGGACAATCCGATCTGACTGAACTCGAAAGCTCGCAGGAGAATGCATGGTGGAAAGCAGGATTACAAACAAAGTATACGAGATCGAAATCATAACGTGATGTCAGACCCGAAATTGGGAGACAAAAGAACATTGATGCTGATACTGATTGCAAAGCCTCGCCACTCTTAGCATATATATTAAGTGTATGATTCTGGTTGATATCATCGCAGTAACCAACGTTGATATTGCTGAGCTATTACTCCTCTGTCCACATTATTCTGGCTCGGACCTACTCTGTCTTACAAAATTGGTCATTCCTGCGTTCTCGAGGCTCTAATTCATCAGAATCAACGATGGAGGAAGAGGGCAGTTACAGATCCACACTGGAGGACTAAACAAGAGATGCCAAGGAATAGAAACCAGAAGGGAATGAGAATTCCAGGAGCATTTCACCTGCCTCACTGCCCTCGCCGTGCGAATTCGATAGGTAGCAATCTAAACCAGTGAACAGAAACATCCCAGATCTGTAGTAGTTGCCCAAAAATTGGCTTCAGAAGGATCTGGCACCAAAGTGACCGTGTCTGTGTTGGGCATGCCGCTGCAGGTCCAGGAGCTTGCGCGCTTTCCGGCGGGCCTTGCTCGTGCCGGTGCTACAGAGCTCGCCAAGAGGTCCACACACGCCCAGCTTCGCAGACATGTAAGTGTTGTTGGGATCACTGCAGCACAGCTCCAGAAGAATAGCTGCGGCGTTCTCTTTGTTCTGTGGGCTGCTCTCGGATATGATATCGATGAGGAGAGGCAACGCGCCCACCCGGCCAATTTCAGCCTGGCCCTCCACGTGAGTGGCTAAGATTGCGAGGGTTGCGAGGGCTTCGTCCACTATGCCTTGCTTCTCGTCGAGAAGCAGATCCACGAGGGGCGGGATTACACCAGCTCGCACTGCAATTGCCTTGTTTTCGTGACAGATTGCGAGATCGAAGATAGCACTCGCCGCGTCTTTCTTTCCTCGCGTGGTGCCTTCTGTCAGGAGCTTGACGAGGGCAGGGATAGCGTCTGTTGAGCTCCCGATGAGTGCTTTGTTCGTTGTAGTCTTGGTGGAGAGGCTGAACAATGCTGCGGCAGCATTCGCCCGGGCTTCGCAGTCGCCGTATTTCAGCACTTGCACGATAGGATCGAGAGCGCCCGCTGCCATTATCTCGTCTTTCACGTTGGGATGGATGGAGAGGTTGAGAAGGAGAGTAACCGCATGTTTCTTGGTTTCAGGGTCGGTGCTGTCGCGCAAAACAGACACGATCGCCGGAATCGCGCCCTTCGTTGCAATGTACTCCCGGTTCAATGAGCTTTTCCTCGTGAGTGACCGCAGCCCAAGAGCCGCGTCCCGCTTGGCACTCACGTGGTTTGCCTCAGCCTCCAAACTGGCCACCCATCTATCGATCTGCTGACGGATCTCAATTTCAACATTGCTGAAATCACCCGCTGCCATTGCCTACGTCTTAACCTAACTAGCTTCTGGAAAACGAATCCTACTGAATAGCCATCGCTCGCAATGCTTGGGCTTTACTCTGCCAAAATATTCTGTAAAAGCAAAAGTCGCAATGCACCAACCTCTGTCAACTCGCTTAGTTTCTACAGCACGCCTATGATTTTGTGCAACAGTTCCAGTTCTTTCCACGTCTGTTTAAAAGGTGATTGGGAAAGCATGTATATATATATATATATATATATATATTCGTACTCTACGTTCGTATCGACAGCGTCTTGACGATGACGCAAAGATGCACTGCCAACACCAATCTAAATCTGTGCAGCGCGGAATGCAACACAACTACGATACACCAATCAATGCTAAGTGCAATTGGCAATAGCTGCTTACAAATTGTCTTGATTCTACACGATTTTGCTTCTCAGTCTAGGTCACCCTGAATACCAGGTGCCAGAACACCAAAATTAAGCTGAAACCTTTGCAGCAGTCGTCCAAACGAGGTTCCGAGCTATAGAAGACCACATTACCACAAATTAGAAGACTTCACTAACAAGAGCCCTCCAATCCCTAGCAACAATCGATATCTGCTGCTGCTGCTACACCGTCGCTACAACACCGCATCATCCACCCCTCTCTCAACATGGCGAGTGACATCACAGCTTCCGCATTCAACTTTCCCTGTCGATATGAGGAGGTTGCCCCCCGCCAACCTCTGAAGCCGTAAACGATCACAATCAGATTGCTCCTCGCACTGTACACAGACGCAGAGAGGGAATGAAAGCTTGAGGTACCACATTCTTTTCTCCCCGCACTCAAGATGACCCTAGTCTACAAAACCAACACATGCCCTCATCAAAGCTCCATCTCCTAGCTTACAGCTCCCTCATAACCAGTTCCTTTTCCACTCCCCTCCAACAACAACAGCAACCCAGCTCGTCGTCCGTAACCCAGCACCCGCAATCACCATCACCATTATAAAATCCCAAAAGCAGAATCAAAACACAACTTAGGCTCCACGCAACCCGCATTGCCTCATTCAACGGCCTTTAAATTACAATCGACTTTATGGGTCCCCCTAAATACTGCATGAAAAAGAACGAGACAAAAAACCCGTTTGAGAAATAAAGGAGGAGGTGGCGCCACAGTCACGACATTGGCGGAAGAAAAAGACGCAGCCAGGCGAGCACAGGCGCCGGGAAGACCTCGATCGCTCTGCAATTCCTCTGCTCGAGGCCGCCTCGCCATAGGTGCCGCAAAAGTCAAAAGGCTTCGAAGCTATTCACTGGATTCTGAACTGGAACTGTTTTCCTCTTTCTTGCGATTTTCGCGGCGCCGGAATCAGTACTGTGTCAAGGCTGTTTCCTGGGTGGAATCTGCATGCCGAAAATGGCGGGTTTCCGATCCTTTCCTATCGTGTTCACACTGAGCCGAATAGATTGGGGTTCATGTTAGAGAGATATTTGGCACATGATTTTCCATTTTGTGTGTATTACCACGTTTTGAAGTGAAAAATTCATGGTCAAGTACCTATTAATATTGTAAGTTTATTATTGTAATATACATATTACAAATTAAACTTATAAAAAAAACCACTAAACTTTGTTTTTGATTTTTTATTTTCTGTATTAAAAAATCTGATTTTTTTTAAATTCATTTGAATATATAATTTTATAACGTAGCTGGTAGAATATGCACACATGTGTACACAGGGATAAATTTAGATTACTATTATTTCTTTGTAATGTGACATACTAAAATATTTATAGTTTTTTATAAGTATTTAATTCCAACTAATACAATTGCAATTTTTGGGATGAATACCATATATTAAATATTATTTGTAATACATTACTTGAACTTATTTTACATATACTGCTTTAAATTTCTTTGAATCATAAATTAACACAAAACTTGCTGTTTTTGTATTTTCATTTTCTTCACGGTTTGGAATAAAACTCAATTATTATTTTATAGTTCAATTTTTTTCTTGTAACTTTGAATATTTAGGTACTCTTTTAGACTTTTTCTTATATTTTGTTTATAAACTTATTTTCTTTTGCTTGTTTTAATGTCTTCTTGTTGTAATTTAAAATATATTTCATGTGTTCTAATGTAAATTAAAACATATTGCTATAGTTGATTTTTTCTTGTTTTTAATATTCTTCTTCTTAACTAATGTGGTGTTTTTTTAACACCATTTTCCACAATAATATATTTATTATTTAAAAATATTTTTGATGTTTGGTTTGGTTTGCAATTAATATAAAAGAATTAAATATAATATACATGATTGTTAAGCAAATATATTTTTACCTGTGATGATAGAATTTTTCAAGAACAAGTTTTTAATGGGCTAAGACTTTAAATTTTGTTGCATTTTCTTGTATTTGATATGATACTATAATAGCTAATTTTATGCAATGAGATTTATTCTACATCTTTTTTTTTGTCATGCAATTTACAATTATTATTTATTTTTTTAAGAACATAAAATTACTTCTTTGATCATAAATATGAATAAAAAGCTTAGAATATTAAAAAGCACACAAAAATTATTTTTGTAAAAAAATTAATGGATTATTTTTATTTAATATGGTAATTTTTAAAAGAGAATTTTTACCAAAAAAAAACTATATAATATAGCAAACATCATTTGTCTCTGTGTGTGTTTGTTGTTATTTTCATTTTTAAAATTACTTTTATAAGAACTTCTTAAATTTTTTTTAAAAAATCTAATTATTTAAGACTATTTATAAGCTCAAATACTGAAATAGTTTTTTAATTCAACAAAACCAAAACGTGTACCAAATCAAGTCTTGATTAGAATAATACATGACAAATACAATTAGAAACTTTCTTTTATAATCAAAATACACAACATTTGAATATTACTATCTGTCATTAACAATTTAAAATATGTGTAAAATATTTAAATAATTTTAGATTTTTTTTACTAAATTCATTAAACATCACGTTATTTTTTACTAAGATGATGAGTTATCAAGTAAAAAATATTTAAAATATTTAAAAAAAGATAAATAATTTTATTGAAAATATGATATATAAGATAATTTAGTAAACTAAAGAATTTTTTTTTAAGTGCTAAATATATTGTATTTTTAATATAATATATTCTTAAAAGATTTTTTTAAAGCACCTAAAAAATATTTTTAATGGATTTATTATTTTTTAAAAAATATAAAATAACTTCTAAATTATTATTTATTTTTTCTTTGTTTCTTAAAATGGCTGTAATAAATGAATAACCTTTTTGAAGAAACTAGTTAAATATTCTTATAATAAAACTAAATTTTTATATTTTAGTTTTTGTCTTTCATATTAAAATTTTAATAACTCAGTTTTTAAGGATAAAATTCGAGTGGATTTCTTTTGAATAAAAGTTTTTGATGTATGGAAGATATGAAGCTGTAATAGAAAAAATTATTTTAAAATAATTTATGGCAAAAACAAAATATCTTTAGAAAATTAATTAATTTTTTGAAAAATGCATCATATAATTTTATTATAATGATAGGATAACCATAATATGTTCAAATTCTTTAATGGGTTACTAAAGTCATTTAAAGCATGCTATAGCATCAATCATTTTTACTACTTTGATAAATACAACCAAATAGGTATAAGTATTATCACAAATGTCCTTGCCATTTGTAAGTATGATTAAAACAACAATTCTAATGCAAAAACAATTATTCTTTTTTATTAAATGTACAGAAGCTTAATGATTTGATTTGATATGATACATTTTGAAGCTATTAAACTTCCACTGTGGATAGATAGCAAATTTAAGCTTCTATATTATATTAAAAATATTAACATAAATAGTCTTAGATGCTAATATTAAAAGAATGATAAAAATGCATGACTTAGATTGTCTTTCTTTAATTTTTATATTTTAAGGCACTAGGTTATTTTATTCTAAACAACTTATATATGTCCACATTTTTCTCAAATATCTTCTTAATTATATTTATCTAAAAAATAATATATTCTTTTACAACCCACCAAACATGACTTCTAAGATCCAACCTTATCATGCCAATATAATCTATAATCTTAAGGTATTCTTTTATTATTGATTCAATTTCCTCTTCTACGGTTTAAAGATGATGTTGAGAATTAAAAAAAGATCGTCTTTAATGCAATTCAGCTGGCTATTATAAATTAGAAGTTTAGTATTAAACTAATTATTATTGCAAAATGCTTCTTCTATTATAAGATTTGTATTATAGAGCAAGTTGTTGTAATTATTGGAAAAGATGACATACTGAATAAAGATGTCATTTAAAACACAGAAGTACAAATTTATAAATTCTCTAATTATAATTCAATAGACATTTAGAATCTACTAAAATACTTTTAAAATATATATATATATATATATATATATATATAATTTAAATAAATAATATTAATAATTAGCATTTTAAAAATTAATTATATTACAATCAACAATAATGATAATCAAGAATTTTCAATAGTACATATTACTAATGAAAATGAGATTATTAAAGTGATTTTATGTGCAATATGAAGATTTTAATATTTTTTATTTTTATTTTATTAATAATAATAATAATAAATATGATTAAGAAAATTTAGATAACATAGAAGAAAATTAACAACTTCTTTTTAACATATTTAGATGTGTAATTGGTTTTAAAATATTCCAATGTGCTTTATATTAGAAAAGATATTCTCTTATATTAAAGACCTAGATATCAACATTAATTTTGAGAATTAAAAAATACATAGCTAAAAATTTTTATAGCTATGTATTATTTTTTAGCTATGTTTTATTTTTTAGCTATGTATTATTTTTTAATTCTCAAAATTAAGTCTTATATTAAAGACCTAGATATCAACATTAATTTTTTTATTTCAAAAAAGATAGATTTTATAATGTATGACTATCAAATCCCCCTTATTTAAAATCTCTATATCAACTTGTAAAGAAGCTCATAAAAAAATCCACACAAAGACATATATATTGGCATGCATTAAAATACAGCTCAAATTCCAAAGATTAGCATAAAAACTCACACTTCTCTATAGGAATTCAATTTCTTTGGTAAACTAATTGTCATCGTTGTTAGTCCTATCCAACCTGCACCTCTCTTTTTCATATGCCATCAGTTCTTTATTAAATTTAAGTAACTTTATATTACCTTGATAATATAGACAATCACCTTAATTAATATATGGTTCTTGTTACCTAATAAAAAATACAATCCAATGTACATATTTGCAACATGGTATCAAAGCATTAGGATACTATTAGATCAAGTGAGCCATATTCACTACTTAATTAAAAAAAGATAGAAAAGAATAGAAAAATAATAAAATATATATCTTAAGAAGTAATATTAGATCTAAAGAGATGGCAAAATCCAAAGAAAGGTCCTCAAACTATGAGATAGGAGAATCAAATAAACTATTAAGAATTTAGAACTACTAAATTTTGAAGTTGAAGTTTTAATATTAAAAAGAGAGAATTTGTGTGGAATAGTGGAAGTAAAGATGACAATCATATTATTTTAAGTCACTGCAATAGATAGATCTTATATTGAGATACAGCCAGTAGAAGAAAAACAAAGATCACAATTGAGACTCACCATGTTGGTTTTAAATAGTTTGATTGGAATAGTATCCCAATACAATGACCTTATAGATTTATGGGACATATTTAGAAAAATATTCAATGTAAGAGACCAACAATAAAGCATATTATTGACAAATAAGTTGAATGAAATATTAATGAAAGAAGGAGGTGGCATTAGTATTTACCTCACAAAAGCTACAAATATAAAGAATCAATTGGAGGCCTTGAATAAAACCATTGTAGATAAGAAACTTATTAAAATTGTATTCAATTGTTAGCTACAAAGTTATCAAATGGTTATTTAGAACATCACCTACTTAGCACAATCTACATTTGAAGATGTTATGAATATCCAATAAATATTTTATTATCTAAAAAAGAAATAAATAATTGCAAGAATAAAAATAAATAAAAATAGATTTTATTAATTCTAAAAAAAATTAAATTCTGAAGCTAATCCAATTAATAAGTATAAAAATATGAAATTATGGTACAAAAAAAGATATGGTCACTTATATTATGTCAGTTTTTAGCACTTGTCACAAGCTAATTGGATACAAGATTTGTCATTGTTTAA